TCCCGACAAGTCTATCTCGATCTACCCACTGCAGCGAAGCGTCGGGAGAGGGCCGTCGACAAAGTTCCGCCCAAACTCCTGCGAAAAAAGGATAAAACACCGAGACAAAGAAAAGAAAAGCTAAGCAAGAACAAAGCGTGGCTAGAGTGCATAAAGTACTCAAACAAAAAGATAGACAACTCACGGTGAGGCGGGTTGTTGGTTGAGAACTTCGATGGCAATGAGGGAATGGCGCTCACCTTTCGGCATCTTGAAGGCGGCTCAGTACCTCCTCACGGTCAGCTCAAGAGCTGGGACCATCGTGAAGGATCCTCGGCCCCGAAATACTCAAAGCCGAGATGCTCCGCTCTTTCAAGGGCTGAACCCGAACCACGAAGAAAGCTCGAGGCGATACAAAGCCGGTCAAACCTGCTGCTTCAAACATATTAATCCTATCAAGGTGTTTGGATCACTTGAATCTCGGTGGGCGATTCAAGTTTCTTGTCCCATCGGTCATTCACCACAGGGACCAGATCCGGGATGAATGGCAAGGAAGGATTAAATTAGCGTAAAACCACTCGGCCGCCAATCTTTTCTGAGAATCGACCAGGTCATAGTCAAAAACTTAATTTTGAGACCACAGGCGGCCCAGAATCCCACAACCGCCAAAACGGCTGGTTTCTTCACGGCGGGTTGAGGTTTCGAACCGAAAAAAAAGCGAAAAAGAAGGCGGAGAAGGAGGATTCCAGGAAAGCTTACATAGATGAGCGAAATGAAAAGATGGAGAATGGCATTGGGGGTTAGGTGGTTGGACTAATCCAAAATAACCAAGCTGATGAAGGAAAGCGGAGGCGAAGGCAAAAATCCGTAGCGCGGACAAAAGAAACGAAAGGACAATCTCACGGGACCGGGAGTCTGGAACCCGATGCTTTCACCGGAACCCTCCATTCAGTGATGACTTTGCTTTGGATCAAGCCATCGCTTCTTGAGCTCAGCATTTAATGGTCTTCGTTTGTTGTTGTTGGGGCCGGCCAAACCTTACGAGCACCCTCATAGCCACAAACTCGATTTTGGATCAAAGAAAGGATGATTCCTCGTCTCTGAGGTCGCTTTGAGACTTGCTTGCGGTTTTCTTCTTTCCATGAGCTGGCGGAAGCAAGAAGGCGCTAAAGAAGATGTAGGATGATGATGCTCGGATTCTGGGCGACGGTGGCGGTGGCAGATTCTAAAGCTAGGGTTTAAAGGCAAGAGTTGGGCAGCAAAGGGTCTTTAAATAGGTTTCTCGGCGATACAAAGCGGCCCACAAGGCCCGATAAAACACAATGTGGGGCAACGACGGTCCATTTACCGCGCAACTAAAACAATGGAGGCACAAATCCACACAACATACAAACCAGCAGGCGATTTTAGACTTATCATCCGGACACCACGGCGAAGGTTATCGGTCGCTACAAGAACAACTCGTCAAAACAAGAAGAAAGAAGGAAGAAAGAAAAGGCTACCTCACAAGGAACAAAAGAACCGGTTATTTGAAAAGAACCCGGTAATCTCATGGACAACGGGGATCATAGCGAGAAAAGTAAAAGACAACTTCGAGAAGACAAGATTCGTTACATTACAAGCGAGAAGATTACAAATCTTAAAGACAAGATTCGTTACATTACAAGCGACTTCAAAATAGAAGATTACAAATCTTACAAGACCCAACGAACTCGGCACTCTGAAAAGCAAGGTAGCAAAGAGGAGCAGCGGACACGGCTAGGCTGGGAACGACTACGTGTCCCAAATTGCTACTCGGAAGGACAAACCGCCATCAGCTACTGTTTTTCTTCAAAGGAAGGGCCTTGATGCACTCAAAGCGAAATCGGCGGCAGCGCGACAACACAACATGGAGAGAAGGCGGCGGGGCATCTGTCTACCAAGACCGATGTAATCTGCATATGGTGTTGATCTGCGGCGGAGACGATCTCAAGGCAGGCGGCGAGATCAACCCGGAGGCGGCGAGATGAAGGCAAGCCCACATCACAAGACTTCCTCAACTACCACCACATACATCCAGGCACAATCTTTGTCATGAGGATTAGCCTACCTCTAATCCCTATCACAAGACTTCCTCCGGCTACAACAAAACACAGGAACTACAAAATATGCCGGGGGCTGCTCTACTTCACAAACTACCATGCTCATATCCACGAAAGGTTTCAACGGAATATCAATAGATGAAAACAAGCACTCAGGGAATGATGTTATAGACCAAAGGAAGCGGCGCATGGACCAAGAGCACCGACAAAATAAGCGACAAAGAACACAGTGAAAGGGCGGGACTCAATAATGGGCGACTTCGGTGAGAGGAAAGCGATGCTCGAAGGCGGGCATATTAGGAAGGATATACCATCACAGTACAACCCGTGAACAAAAAGCATTTACACTCAACCACCACCATACAACTACATCGGCCGGCGACGACTATCAAAGAATCGCCAAGACCTCGCATCAGAAGTTCTTCTGAACAAAACAACACGGGTATCAACGCTCGGGGGCTCGGCGACATCACAGATTAATCAACACTAAGCTAGGGAATCAAGCCTCATTTCAACTTCTCCCGGGGCTCGGAACCAAAGACAAAAGACAAAAAGTACAAGAAACTCAAGACTACAACAGCGACAACATCAAAGACTCTTCAACCGACTTCTTTTTCAAAAGAAAAGAACTTCGGAGAAAGCAAGGCTGCGGGATACATAGCCCAAATTTTTTGAAGGCGAATCTGGACCCTCCAACTTTTGCAAGCAAAAGCAAGAGGCTCGGGGCTACACTCGGTGAGTGCAATTTTATGAAAAAATTACCCACCCAAAAGAACCGGACATAGGCTCGGAAGCAAGCACACCATGGCTACTCGGATGATGGTTTAATCCAAGACTAAAGGACGCTTAGGAAAGATACCATAGAAACTACTCGGATGATGGTTTAATCCAAGACTAAAGGACCGCTTGGAAAGATACCACAGAAACTACTCGGATGATGGTTTTAATCCGGGACTAAAGGACACGCTTGGAAAGATACCACAAAACTACTCGGATGAGGACAAAATTCAAATCTCGGGGATTACTTGAGCCTGATTTTCAAACAAACATAAAGGATCAAGACCCTCCAACTTTTTGTTCCAAATAGCAAGAGGCTCAGGGGCTACACTCGGTGAGTGCACTTTTTCTCCGAAAAAGCGCCGTCATAAAAGAACTTCCTCAGCGAGACTACTTCAAGACATTATGACAAAAAAGAACCGGAGCAGAGCCATATTGAGTTCTTTTTGACAAAACTTCAACGAACAATCGAGCAACTTCAAGACAAGATCCTCCAGCTCCTTGTTCCAAATAGCAAGAGGCTGGGGCTACAACCCGATGGATGTACTTTTTCTTCACAAAACACTCACCACTCGAAGGTCCCAAGAAGCGCTACAAGGTTTCCTCCGAAAGCACTTTCGGATAACATTTTGTTCCTACCTAACAAGACTTGAAGGAGCAAAGCAGAGACTTTGGGAGCTCAACCATGAAGTGCTCGGGGCTTGTCGATCTGGGACCCACAGGATACCCACAAGAGAGAAGATCTAGTTCAACTAGGATTCTTCCCATGTAATCTTAGTAATAGAACTATTAAGTAATCCTACTAGGAAATCTCATTGTAAACCGATTAGGACTCCGGCCTCGACTATATAAAAGGAGGCGGGGCTCTGAAAGAAGAACAAAATTGTACAACATAACACTTCATAATCAATCAGCGCAAAAGGCAAAATGGCGGACGCGGAATTAGATTACTCGATCTCTGATCGAGGGCTGAACCGAGGATAAATCGATTTGTCTCTTGCGTTTACCATCGAGTTCGGCATCTGGCTAGAAGCCCGAACATCTTGCCCGGGTACCCGTGGCGAGCTATCGATCTAGGTCTCGGGACCTCCGCCCGAAGCCTTAGGCTGGGCCTTCACTTCCGTCGTCCAGAACCACGACCCTACGTGCCATAAGATCCTCCACAGCCTTCGACCGCGTTCTAAGCGCCTGCGCCCCATCTTCCTTGCCTTCGCCTCGGCATTCTTTCCCTACATTGCTCATGAAACTTCGTTAACCGTTAGTTCTTATTGCTATTTACGAACTTTATTCTCATGACTCATAATAACCGTGCTCTAACATTAAGGCGTTCTCGCTTTTCTAAATACATGACTTTTCTAGATACATAGGAGTAGTAATACGACACACCTTACTAGTTAGTGGTTATCAGCTTGCCATATCTATATCTAACTATACCTAATATTAAAAGGTAAAATTTCTGCTTTCTTGGTCCACCTACCTTGCCACGTTCTTTTTTCCGCTTGTCTCGGTGTCGATGATTGTGTCCCCTTCTCTTTTTTTGGTTTCTTTGGTTTGCTTTTTGTTCATGCTGATTGACTTGGTGTTTTGCGTTTCTTTTTCCGTTTCTTTCTGTTCCAATTATGATGTTCCAATCGGTGATGATTGGGTCGTGGTTAAATGTAGCACTCCTAAGTGTGCACAGTACTTTCCCACATAAGCAATATGAAAATTAAAGTTACGATATATTTAACGTTTAAATATTTCTATACTTCGTAACAGGAAAAATCTATCATAATTTTTATTTTGATTAAAATCACAGGTTTAATAGGACATTATCAAAAGAATTGCCAACATTAACTTATAGTATGGATGTCATTGATTTAAAATTTTATAGAAAGATAAAATGTAAATGGACATATAATATTCTCGTCGTCGTTTTACATGAATCGTTTGAATTTTGATGCCTTTTTTTTTTTTACAACGCACGGACATATTTCGCTATATAAGTGAACCCCAAAGTTGTATTAAGCTTGGAAGATGTGAGTGCGTCGAAGAAACTCTCCCCTCTCGATCGGCATGGCTCAAGTTCACTCTGGCATCAAGAGAGCTCCTCCACTAATGACCCGAGTGAAAGTAGCAACTTTGAAGCTGATCTTGTAGCTAGAAGCTTCCCACAAAGGAAGGATGGTCGACGCCACTGACGCTCCCACAGCCAGTGCTGGCTCAGATCACATGTTAGGAAAATTCATGACCGTGAGGGGCAGCTTCAGGCCCGGCGGCGACGACATCATCCTGGCGACGCACCCGAAGAGCGGCACCACCTGGCTCAAGGCCCTCGCCTTCAGCATCTTCAACCGCTCCCGTTGCAGCCTCGACAACGACAACCACCCTCTGCTCTCCGACCACCCCTGAAGGTCGTGCCCTTCATGGCGCCGTGGGTGGGAGACCTCGACTACCTGGGGTGCTGCCGTCGCCGAGCTGCTCTCGACCCACCTGCCTCTCTGCTGCTCCGCCCGCCGTATCCACCCTCGGCTGCAGGGTGGTGTACCTCTGCCGGGAGCCAGGATACCTCGTCTCGGGTGGCACTTTGAGAACAAGATCCGGAAAAGGCCCCATCGGCCTCGAAGATGCTTTCGACATGTTTTTGCCAGGGCTGCTCCGCTTTCGGCCCTTTCTGGGGAGCACTACCTTCAGTACTGGAAGAGAGAGCTCGGCGAGGCCACGAGAGGTGTTGTTTCTCAGGTACGAAAGAGCTGGTGTCTGATCCGCTCGAGGTTCTCAGGAAGCTCGCAGAAGCTTCAGGTGTCCCCACCTGCTCAGGAGGAGGAGGATGGTGGAGTTGCCCAGCAGGTTGTGAGCTTCTGCAGCTTCGATTCACTTCATAACTTAGAGCCTTCTAACAAAGCAGGTGGCGTTGAGCAGCGTTGAGGGGGCAAGAGTTTTCATCCAGTTCTCTCTTCTGTTTTAGGAAGGAAGGTCAGGGGACTGGGCCAACCACATGAGAGCAAGGAGATGGCAGAAAAATGGATCGCCTCGTGGAGGACAAGTTCAAAAGGATCCGGTCTAGTGTTCTGACTTCTAAGAGAGTGTGTCTCCCTTATAATCTTATGAATCTTATGTATTATTATATGTATATGTATTGTCAAATCTACGATTTCACCATAATAAAATATTAATAATCCTTCCTTTTGTCAGTTAACAACCCAGCATAAGTTTAGATCTAATCAAGCTTTTCTAACTTTTTCTATATATATGCTTGTGTCTTCATCTAAGATCATTTAAAAGATTCCAAAACTTTAAATATCAACATACAGAACTCCTAAACAATTTAAAATCAATATATTTATGAAACTACAGAATTTATGGGTGCATCTAGCACTATAGCTTTTTGTTATTTCTTTGCACCATGGAATGAAGCTTAATTTTTATTACTCAAGAGCTTCGAAACTGGATAGTTTTGAGCGTGGCTTGGCGAGACTCCAGTAGAACTCCTGGCAGGCGGTGGGCAACAATGTCGTGAGAGGGCAGGAGGAGGAGGGCAGGAGTCCAGGACATGAGTCATGAGTGGAAGGAGGTGGTGGAAGAAAGAGGCATTGAAAGAGCGGAGGTTGGTTGGCGTGTGGCTTCATGCCACCTGATCTACAGCAGCTAACGCCCTAATGGAACTAGGAAGGGCTAAGCGCTCGAGACGATCCCGGGACGCAGCTCTGAGCCTCATCAAGCACTTTGCGGAAAAAAAAACGGTCGGCACTTACGCCGCGAGGACCACCGAGCCGACTCAGAGCCTCCTGCATCCGCGCTCTGCGAAGCATTTCATCGCTGCCAGCGCCCACTTGCTGCAGCGACATCATTAGCACCGGTGACGGCATGCCGCGCAGCACCGGTAACCGGTGATCCGCAGCAACAACAGCAGCATACTTTTGAAACTCTTGATGACCCGCGATGACCCACGCCCGCGTACACGGCGGCGAGCAAGCGTGGTCCTGCGCCCGCCGCCGCCCGCGGTGCAGTGGCGCGGTGACCTGCCGGCGACAAGCGATGCTTCGAAACATATGGTGACCCACGGTGATCCCATGGCAAGTGTGACACCACTGAATTATAACCGTGTGCTCCCAGGAACTTTAACAAAACGTCCAAATAAACGGTATTTGTAACATCGTCAAAGCGGATGAAACCTTGAACCACTACTGGCCATGGAAACATCGTTATATAGCCATATGTACATAATACAACATTAGGATCTACTTTTGCAACATCCATACTGAAACACTTGCAACATAAATGGAAACCACTCAAAACATATATACTTGAGACATACGTGTATATTGGCTTAACAACATGTCACGGCGTCCACATGAAACACTTGGAAACATCGTCTAAAACCATGAAACATTTAAAACATGGAGAGCTGCTGTAACATACTTTCTTGTGTTGCAACATAGCAAAACATCTGGGTATACTTTTACCGCGTGAGATTCATTTATAAACAAAAGTTTGAAACACCTAAAACATTTTGAAACGATGTTGCCCTTGCCATTCAACATTTTGCCAAAATTAACTTCCCTAAGTGG